GGAGCCTGTTTGTAACTTTGGAAGGTGTGTGGGTGGCTCTGAGGCTGAAGGAGATGCTCTCTGTTCCAGATTGGCAGTGTTCAATCCTTGGGTGGGACAGGCGCTCTGCGGATTGGAGCAGAGTTTCTGAGACGATGGTACAACGGCAACAACAACACAGCAACGCCAGTCTACATCTCCTCTCCATCCTGGGGTGAGTGTTGTCATCTGCTGCCTGCTCCTTGCAGAAAGCCCTGTAGGTCAGTGGCCAAAGCCTGGACAATTGAGTTCTTCACAGCACAGGTGCCTAGACAGTGAGAAGGGGAGTTTCCTAATGTGGATGCAGGAAATGGCTCTGTCACATCTGCTGCTGACATTCAAGGAGCTGTTGAGACTGGAGAAAGTGGCATACTTGCAGGGACTAGCAGGGACTGCTTTTCTGAACAGTGAATTCTTTCCTCAGAGAACCACAACTCCGTGTTTGTGGATGCTGGCTTTAAAGATATTAGAACTTACCGGTACTGGGATGCTGCCAAGAGGGGGCTGGATCTCCATGGCCTGCTGGAAGACATGGAGGTGAGTAAAACTGGCTTGGGATGGGTTGGCAGGTCATGTGCTGTTGGCAGGGGGCTGTGTCCTGCATGATGTGCCTGAAACTGGATCTGTGCTTAAGAGACTTCTGGTGCCCGTAGCAGATGGAAGCCTCTGCTCTGGGTGCTAAAAAAAAGTCACTCTGTATGACCAAGACCTGCTCTCTTCTCAGAAAGCCCCAGAATTCTCCATCTTCATCCTCCACGCCTGTGCACACAACCCAACAGGCACTGACCCTACTCCAGATGAGTGGAAGCAAATTGCTGCTGTTATGAAGGTAAGGGCTGTGCTGGGCCTGAAGCAGTGCTGAGGGGACAGGCAGCTCTCGAGCCAGCTGGAGAAGCCCCAAAGTGGGTTCTAGGAAGTGGCTTGAGATGTGGTAGGAGCTGGAAGAGTTGCACTGGGCAAGTGTTGAAGGGAGAGGCTGGCAGCATGCTGGATGCCTGTGCTGCGAGGACAGAGGCATGCCAAGCCTCATCAGGATTCCAACTTTTTTGCTCCCAAACTGTGAAGCATGGGGTGCAGCAAGGCCAGAAAGGCTCCCCGAGACACTTGCTGGATCACAGGATATAAAATAGCACATCTCTGTTGTGCCCCGTTTGTGCCCCTCTAGGATGGGGGAGGCAGCTACCACATTGGTTCCTCATGCATTTGGCCTTTTCTTGACCATGCTGCTTTCTGCCTTCCTTTGCCCTAGTAGAAGGAAAATGTCATGGTCTGGTCTTGCTGGGCCACATGTCCTGCAATTCACCAGGAAACTAAATGTTTTTATATCCCTTTCTATGGGGATGGTGGAGGGGATAAAGAGAAGGTTCTGGGGAAGGGGTTCCCTCTAATGCTGTTCCTCCTTGCAGCGCCGGTTCCTGTTCCCATTCTTCGATTCGGCGTATCAAGGTTTTGCCTCTGGCAACCTGGACAAGGATGCCTGGGCTGTGCGGTACTTTGTCTCCGAGGGCTTTGAGCTCTTCTGTGCACAGTCGTTTTCCAAGAACTTTGGGCTCTACAGTGAGTGTCCGTCAGCAAGCTGGCCGGGCAGCATCATACCCAGACAGATGGGGCTGGCATGCTGGGGGGAATGGGAGTGCCCTGCTCTGCAGTGATGTGTGGGGCCAGCGGCTCATGTGTCCTTGTTTGTTCACAGATGAGCGTGTGGGCAATCTGACCGTGGTGGCCAAGGATGCAGACAGTGTGAAGCGTGTGCTTTCCCAGATGGAGAAGATTGTGCGCACCACTTGGTCCAACCCTCCGTCCCAAGGCGCTCGCATCGTGGCAACTACCCTCACCTCCCCACAGCTCTTTGCTGAGTGGTGAGTGTTGCCAGGGCCAGTGGCAGAGGGGAAGGGGAGGCTCCGAGTGTCAGGTTTAGCTGAAGAGCCCCAGCACAGGCAGGCTGTCCTTACTCAGAGCTTCCTACCTGCTGCAGGAAGGACAACGTGAAGACTATGGCAGATCGGGTCTTGCTGATGCGTTCAGAGCTCCGGTCTCGCCTGGAGGCCCTTGGGACCCCAGGCACCTGGAACCACATCACGGATCAGATTGGAATGTTTAGCTTCACAGGGCTTAACCGTAAGTAGCAAGTTATCTGGTGCTGCCATGGGAGAAGGGAAGATTGGGTGAGGAAGCCTGTGCTGGGAGAGAAATGAGCCAAAGTCTAGGTTGGTATTTCCCAGGGAGCTCCCTGGGGTCCTGGTATTCCTGCTGCAGTCAGCTGGAAAATGTTTTAAGGTCAAGGATTGTTGAGCTTCTGCCAGTCTTCTTCATTGCTGCCACTGTGGATAGGCAAGGACAAAGCATTGGACTGCATTTCAGGGGCTAATGCTGAAAGTTTTCTCCTCGTTGTGAAAGATTTCAGCAGTTTGACTGTTGTGGGGTTTTTTGTTTTGTTTTTTGTTTTGTTTTTCCCTCTGAGCTGTATAGTCACCAGTTTGACCTGAGGTCCAATTGCTTCCCCAGCTAAGCAGGTGGAGTACATGATCAAGGAGAAGCACATCTACCTGATGGCCAGTGGGCGCATCAACATGTGTGGCCTGACTACCAAGAACCTGGACTATGTGGCCAAGTCCATCCATGAAGCCGTCACAAAGATCCAGTGAAGCACATGAACAAACAAACTTAAATGAAGTCAACTTAAATGAAGTCACCAAAGCTGTAGTGTGTAGTCCATGTCTTTTGCTGCTCGTGGCTTGCTTTGTCCGCACCTCTTGGGGGTTTAATAAAGATGGGAGCAGCAGCTCCATCAGGGATAATCATCTTCTGGCCTTTCCAAAAGACCCCTTGCAATGTGGCAAGCCAATTCCCCCAAGAGGTGGGGGCAGCATAAGCCTTCTTGACTCTCATTTGACTGACAGCAGCCTGCTCTTTGGGTGCTTAGAGTTGTATCTGTAACACAACTGAATCAACCCCATGTAACTGATGAGTTTGGTCTGAGCTAAGTCCTGCCCTAGTGCAGTTGGTTATGGAATAACAGCCCCAGTGGTTGGGCTCTCACTGGGTCTGTGGCCTGGTGTCACTCCGTAGTATGTCGGTGAAGTGAAGCCAGTGCTGACTCTTCCCCACCCACTTCTGAGCCGTGTACGAGCAAATATTTGTAATTGTTGTAACTGCTTCTCAGTGTTGCTGACAGAAAATTAAATCTCCATCTCCGAACACTAGCCCGCCTTTTGTGGTGTCTGCCAGTGTTGGTGTTGCCCCTGCCTGAGGAAGGGCCTGTGTTATGGAGCTCTACCACTTATGGCTGTGGCATACAGAACTGAGGGTGACTTTCTTCCTTGCTGCTTTTTCCCATGTCAGTCTTGAATTCCTCTTTCTGTCTGTGTGTGCTTGTTCTCTGCAGTCATGTTACCGACCCATCTGCCCATGTCCTTCCCTAGCTCCAAGCTCCTGGCTTGCTGCTGATCTAATGAGGAGCAAATCTTTCCTTTTCTCCCTTCTTGGCAGGTTTCTCTCTTACTTTCTCTAGGTTCACCAGGTTCTGCCAGCAGCAGTCTGAGTTTCTGGCACTGAAAAGGAGTAGGGACCATCTGGTCCTGCTTTCTGCAGTCAGAGTCAGCAGGTCTATTTGGGAGCGGGTGCTGCCACCTCGATACAGCAGCCTCCTGCCAAGATGAAGGAATGACAAGGCAATCCTTTCCTTGCATCATTCAGGAGAGTTGCTGCTGCCTCTATTATTTTGTTCTGCTACAGCTTAAGACTGCAAAGGGGAAAATGGTTCCTTGTTCGCCTGCTGTGCGTGCAGAGCGGGGCTTGTTCATCTGCAGTGTCTGAAATGAAGCAGGGATCTTGTGTCTTTCAGGACACTGCCCTACCTTGAGTATTGCTTTGGTTGTCAGTACAGGTGCTTGGACTCCTCACTCATGCACAGCTCTCTTAAGAGGAGAACTGGCCCAACTCCCTTGTGAGCTTTTCGGTGCTTTGGTAGCCTTTCCATGCCTGTTCTTAACGAGTGACCTAAATTTCTCCCTTGCTGCGGTGTAAGCTCATTACCCATGATCCCATTTCCCATGGCAACAGGGAACAGATTATTCTCTTCCTCTTTACAACAGCTTTTTATGTATTTGAAAACTTCCTCTCTCCCTTTTGCATCCTTCACCAGCTCAGATTACATGACCCTGTTTCCTTCAGCCTCCTTGGGTAGGATGTTTTGTAGGCCTCACTTTCCTCCGGCCTCCTTTCAGCTGCCTCGTGCTTCCGTAGGAGGGCAGTGCCCAGAGAGGGAGACAGTTACCACAGCTGAGGTTTGATCAGCATTGGAAAGCCATGAGATTTCCACCATTATCTATTGGGCTGCAGTCCAGCATGTGTATCCCAGTATTGTTAGCAACAGAGTGATGATAGGAATTGCTGTTCTCCCTCCCCAGTCCCTGCCTGCAGTTCCCGTTACAAGCCACTGCAGTGCTGAGGGCTTCCCTGGATTAACACCACAGGAAAGCCTGTTATCCCCTTGCCCAGGAGTCCAGGTTCAGAGCGGAGTGAGGCATTGGGAAGCACTCACAGACCTGGATCTCCAGCTGCTCTCTTGGCTATGCTAGCCCCGAAACAAAGTGGACAGGGTAGGGCTGTGGCCCTGGGTCCCTTCACACCCTCAGCAAAGGTGTGTGAAGGCCTTTGTGGCACTGCTGTGCCCTCTCTGGCCTGACAGCTGCAATGAGGACAGCCCGAAACACAGTGGGCCGAGTACGATGGCCAGAGCCAGAGGCCACCTCCTTGCATTGCCATTGCATCCTCTGGCTCTCCTGGGAGCTGGGCATGAGGAGAAACAGCTGCAGCTCTGGAGCATCAGTGACTATTCCAGGCTTCTCCATGGCCACAGTACAAGAGGTAAGTTTAACCTGGGGGGAGATGTTAACGTGTCTCCACGTAGCCATTTCCATGCAGACACATAGAGGACATTGCTCAGCAAGAACTCACTTTTAATGTTAATATCCCCATTGCATTCAGCCTCTGCAAAAACTACTGATGGGTCTGTACCAACCTGGAGGCTCAGCGTGAGCCTCCCTTGCACAGGTAGCCACGAGCAGAGAGGAAGATGGTTAAATGCAGTGCGGAGCAGCCCTCCCAGGGAGGGAAGGGCCTTGGCCTCCCTCCCCTGTGGCTCGCAGGGTGCCGCAGTGCTGGGCTGCGGTGATGGTCGGTGTGCGCGAGGCCCTGCAAATGTGCGTGTCCCCAGGCACAGCACAAACACGTACTGGGGCCCTGAGCTGCGTGTGGCACCTCCGAGCAGCACGTGTGCCCTGTGGTGGAGACCAAATCCATGCAGCACCCAGCACCGCGGGGCTCCAGGCTCGCCGGGACGGGGATGGTAAATGACGCTAGGGGCAGTTCTGGGTTGGGCCGCCCCTCCCTGCTCTGCTTGCAGGGACACCGTGCCAGATACTTCTTTCCTTTCTCCACCTCTTCCTTGAGACCAGGTGCTACCAGGGAGCACCTGGGCAAGGGCCCACAGACTCCAGGTAGTTGGGCCAGGCTGTCTGGTTCAGCCTTTCTTGCCTGGGGACGGGGCTCTGCACAAGTCCTGCAGGGAAGGGCGGCACGAGCGGGCAGGTGGGCAGCGAGCGAGTGCAGACCTGCTGCTGTTGGACGTGAGACTCGTGGCAGGAGACCCCCATGCTGCAGACCTGCAAGAAACAAGCACAGCCTGGTGCAGGTGGGTCCCGGACTGGGGGAGACCCAGGCCAGAGCCCCTTCTCCCTGGCCAACCATGGCCTGGCCTGAAAGTGGGATATTGGTGCAGATGATTGTTCAGAGCTGTGGAAGTACAGATCAAGATCTTGCTGGTTCTCCTACTCCCATTCCTAGCCAAAAGACTGTCGATTTCCATTCTGTTTCTCTTAGAACCGGGAGCTGGAGCAAGATCAATGTGCCTGCAGAGGGCTTCTCCTGCTGACCCAGCGTGGGTCTCTGCAGCCCTCCAAGCCCCATCCTTTGGCTTTGCAAGACAGAAACTCAATTTCATACTATTGAAAGCCATCAGCTTTCCTTTGCTGAAGGGAAAGAGATGCTTCACTGATGGGAATGGTCCTACCTCCAGTCCACATAGGCCTCCAGCACTGTGCTCCAGCCACGCTACTGCTCAGGTGATTAACGGGGCGAGATTGGAGCTTTCCTCTGGTGCTTGTTCATCCTCCAGCGACTGCCGCTGCTTGCGCCCGCCTGCAGCAGCAAGTGAGGGCGAGGTGGGTTCTGGGGCAAGGCTTGGGCCAGCAGCAGCCTGCAGAACATCCCTCCCCTGCTAGCCCCGGGTGCAGTCCTGCTGGGGGACCAGGACTGGCCCCCGTGCTCCAAGCCAGCCGTTACTCACTCAGTGATCTCAGCAGCCTCTTGCCCAAGGTCTCCTCGGAGCCGCTCGGAGAGGAGCTGGTCGCAGCCTCTCTGCCTGGGGCCTCCACATCCAGGGCAGTGCTGCAGCACTCACTGTCTGCAAAAGCCCCGGTGGCTGCAGCGGTTCCAGGCAGTGCCCGGGACACTGCAGTGCTCGCTGCCTGTGCTCTCTGCGCCCTGCATCTCAGCTCCCAGTCCCGGACTCACTCTGCTGCTTGCGGCTCTCCTCGGTGTCAGCCAGCTCCTCCTGGATGTAGGGGATCCCCTCCATGCGCAGGAACACGGAGTCGCTGGGGCTGCGCAGCCCGTCGGCGCGGCTGCCTGCAGGGGCAGAGGGCAGATGTTGGGGAGCCCTGGCGTGTCGCTGTGGGGATGCCCCCATGCCAGCAGGTCACAGCATGGCCTCTGCAGCTGCCTTGGCACCAGGTAGGGAAGGGGCGTCCTCGGGAGGCGACTGGGCGACTCACACAGGATGCTGTTCCTCTCATTCAGGAGGGCAGTAGTGTCCTCTTTGGGCGTCTGGGGGGTTCCATGGGCTGTTGAGGCCTTGGTTGAATCCCTGTCATTGAAGGCCTCCACGTCCGGGGACTGGGGCGAGCTGTCCATGCGACTGGCTACCACCGCGTTCTGGTACTGCTGCCGCGTGATCTGGGCAGGCACACGCGAGCTCAGCACTGCGCCCCAGTACCTCCCAGTGAGGTACCCAGTGCCAGGAGCTCCCCAGCCCTGCCCGTGGTGCTAGCTACACAGCTGCGAGGCCTGGGGACACGGTCCTCACCAAGGGCTCCAAGCACCCTCCGTGCTGGTGCCGTGTGGCTCGCACGGGACTCCCATGCAATGTGGGGTGTGGGGCAGGAAGGACAGAGGAGGGGACTATGCAGGTACCTTGACAAACTGCACGTCGCAGAGGATGTGCACGGAGTAGTCGGGGGTGTAGATGTTGTTGCTGCTGCTGTAGAGCTGCGTGGTGCTGCCTCCGTAGTCGCAGTGCTCCCGGTTTGGTGACTCGGAGCGGTTCAGCCCGCTGCAGCGGGACGGGGACCTGTTTACTGAGGGGAGACGATAGGGACCATGGCGGGAAGGCAGGATGTAGGAGGAAAGATGGAAAAGAGAGCAGAAAATGCATGCTCTTCCTCTAGTGCCACACTAGACCGCAGGAGCAGGGCGAGCAGTCACGCTCCTGCGGTTGTGCCCTGCTGGGGCCACGCTCACAGGCATCCCGCTGCAGAGCGGCTTCCCCAGGCCTGCTCCCAGCTCACCCTCATTCCCATCCCCTCCTGGGGTGCTGGGCAGCACCCGGACCCCATGTGTGCACAGCCAGAGCGTCCCATGCCCTGGGGCTGCTGCTCCGGCCCCTTCCCAAACCGTGCGCCTTTACCTGGGGAGCCGGCCAGGGAGTCCCCTCTGCTGAAGGCGAATGTGCGTGACACGGAGACGGGCACTGCGGAGAGAGACGGGCAGAGAGGGGCAAGCAATGAGGGCCGGGGAAAGTTTCCTGGGAAAAGGGCTCAGGTTAAAGCAAGAAAAGCCCCTGCGCCTTGGGGCTCTGGGACCCTCCTCCATGTGCAGGTGACCAGCAGAGTGGCCCCATGGGGAGACCGGGGCACCTCAAGGGCTGGAGCTGCATGTGGCACACTGGGACCTGGTGCCAAGGGCTGCCTGAGCCTTTCCCTCAGAGAGTGCAAGTTGTTGGACATTTTTCACATTTTCCACTGCTAATTTCCATGGTTTGCAGCAGCAGTGACAGTTTCGAGGCCAGACCCTTCCTGGTCACTGTGGTTAGCAGGTTGCAGTGCCCCTGGGACTTGTGATGGGGATTTGGGGCTCTCAGCAACCAGGGCAGCATAGACAGGTAGGTAAGCAGCACCCTCATTGCTGCCTCCCCCGATCTCTCCTCACCCTCAGCTGTGCTCTCCTCCAAACGAGGAGGACACCAGGCCATTCGTGGGGGTCTTGCTTTGGAGATAACCCTCCCTCCCCCAAAGTTTGCCCTGCAGCCCTCTCCTTCTGCCCACAGTGCTCCTCCCCTGGTATCTCCTCTGCTGTGTCCTCCCTTGGAATGAAGCTTTCTGCAAATAAAAGTCCAAGCAAAAGCACCAGCGTGAAGTGCTGCCCGGCACAGGCCGGTGCAGCCAGGAGCAAAGGCCAGAGCGATAAGCGCTGGACACGCTTGTCCTTCCCTGCACCGTGCTCCTTTGCCCCGAGCTCCCCGGGGGCTGCCGCGCAAGGACAGCCGGGGCTCCGCTGCGTCACCCTTGCCTCCGATACCAAACAGTGCCTGGCTCCAGAAAACGTTACATAGCAAATGGCTAATGAATAATAAGCTGTTAGTACTCAAGAGTTAATGTCTGAATTCTCCACTGCGATGTGCTACTCACACTCGTTGCTGCGGGGCTTTGCTTCAAGGAGAAAGGAGGAGCGCCAGCCCGACAAGGAAAGCGCCCCGCGGACCTCTGCCTCTCACCCTGCCTCCTTGCTGTTCAGGGCTGACACCACACAAGCAACACACACATGTCCTGCGACAGGCAGAGGCGGCTGGATGGGAGAAAACATCTTGTGACACAACATCATGCGGGAGCACATGGAGAAAAGAAGCCCCAGGCCTCGGCAGGTGGCACCACTAACGCACAAGACCGTGCGGGCGTCCCCTGCCACCTCCAGGCACAACCCTCCTCCTGGACAGGGAACCGCCCGAGAAGGCACTGGGGCATTGGCCATGCAGGGGTGTGCTGGGGGAAGCCAGCTGTCCTCTGCCCAAACTGAGGGCACCGCTGATGCCTTGGGGAGCAAAACGCTTCCACGGAGTCGGGGAGCTCCGTGACCCGTCAGCACCGGAGACGGCTTCTCAATGAAAGCAAAGCAAGCAGCAAGAAACAGATGGACCCTGCAGCTGCACAGCGACCGTGACCCTTAGGAGTCACAGGCCCCTGCCCCGAGGACGCTACCGCCTGGTTTTGCCAGCAGTGTCCCTCCCTGCACCTCCCGGCAGGTTGAATTTGGCAGCTTCTTGTTTGCACTGGGCGCTCAGAGCACTCCCTGCAGATCATCCCCGGCTTGCTATCTGCACTGCAGCCCCAACTGCAACGCCCGGGACTGCGTAAGAGATGTGCAGGGCCGGGCATAGACGGCACTTCTGCATGCTCCCAAGTCACCAGAGATTAACCATTTATAGGGGTAATCAACAACTGGTGATCCCTGCTCAGAGCTCTGTTAACCACTGGAAGCAGGGGATCTCTTAATCAACTCATTAGCTGTGCAGGCAGAAGATTTACCAGGGTTGTGCTGGGCTACTTTTCTCTCCACCACGTGCATGTGACATGTCACGTTGGCTGACACCTGGATTGAGCCATAGGTGCGATCCCAGAGAAGCCCGGTCAGTGCCGCAGAGGAGAGGCACTGGGCAGAGGAGAGGGGTTAGAGCCCCTGGTGATCCCTAGATACCTACACAGGAAGGAGGATCCAGCCAGGCTGCTCACTTTCCGCACGTCACTATCTGAAATGACAGTTGAAGCCTCATGAGCTGCTCAGGAAGAGTCCAGCATTGCCCACTCTGGTGAGATGTCCCCAGTATGCGGGAAGAGGGTGCCAGCCCCTCTGTGATGCCCCATCGGTCCCCACGGCCCATGACATGCCCAGCCATAGCCACCCAACCCAAAGGGCTCCTGCATGGCCCTGGCCACCACAGCGGGGCCATCCTGCCCCACAGCTGTGCTCAGTCCCTCCTCCCAGCCACCAGCCAGCTCTGCACCCCTGAAGGCAGCAGCAGGGGCAAGGCTTGGTGAGGCTGCTCCCCAGCCCAGCACCCCATTTAACTCGGGCAGCTCCACATCTGCCCTCTGTCCTCATGCCCAGCCCACTGGGACAGCCCACGGAGCTGAGGTGCCACTGCCCTCACCCGAGGAGATGACAGCCATGATGGCTGGGACACCGTAGTAGGTGAATGCCCCGTTCTCAAAACGCAGTTCTTCCTTGCCAACCTCCACCTCCACTTTTCCCTGGAAGGAGGAGGAAAACCTGCTCAGACTGGCAGCCCCTGGTCCTGCCACCCTGAGCACACGGGGCTGCAGGGACCCCATCTGCACCCTGAGCATATGTGCAGTTACCATCACCACCATTTAGGAGAAGATGGGGGCTTCTGCTTGCTTTATAAACCTATGGCCATCATCCCAACTGGGGATAAAGTAGGGAGGACAGAACTGGGAAGCAAGCAGTCTAGGCATTGTAATGGTGAGGAATGTGATTGGGGTTACTGAGGCTGCCCTGGGGGGCAGAAGTTTGGGATGAGGGCAGGATGCTACCAAACCACCTTGGCAATCTACCACAGAGCAGCCCAGGAGGCAACCCTGCCTTTACAACCCCAGGAAGCCTCCCCATGAGCCAGCTGACTCCAGTTTCAAGGCCACATATGGTCTTGGGGCTGGCCAACATCGACCTCCACTTGGGGCTATCTCCCCCCTGCAGTAGCAGCCAAGACCAACGCAGCAAGGTGAGATCCACCACACGTCGCCTACTGCCAGCCTGTGCCCCCGCACACCTGCAGGATGAGAACGAAGTAGTCGACGGGGCGGTTGCGCTGGTAGAGGTAATGCTCCAAGGCCTTCTTGTTCTTCCGGTCGTACTTGAGCTCCTGGATGACATTGGGATGTTTCAGGAGCCGCAGCAGGATCTTCTCGGATAGGTAGGGGGACTTGAAAGGCTCGACTTCTGGAAAGGGGGCAACACACCCTCACTCAGCGTGGCCAGGGGCTCCGGCCCAGCCGGGAGGCACCTGCAGCTCTGCCGGACTGCGGCTGGGACCCCGGCTTGCTGCGGGAAAAGGGGAGCTCACTGGGAGCCTGTTGAGAGCAGCCTCCCAGGCTGCACAGCCCTCTTCTCCACAGCCCAGAGGGCAGCCCAAACGTGGACCAAACTGGCTGAGCAGAGGCAGGATCAAGGCAGGAACCTGCAGAGCTACTAGGAGGAGTGCCCCAGCCCAAGGACAGAGCACGGGGAATTTATTCTCCCAGGGTAGGGGTACCTGTTGCCATAAACCGATGCGTAGCCAGCAGGAGCTGTGGGGAGATCTTCACCCTCATCTCGCTGTCAGAGAGTCTGAAGATGGAGAAGTCCTGGGGCTTGCGTCCCCGGTGGGGCACCCGCTCCTTCTTCTGGTTGTCTGCTATGGGGCAGAGAGCAGCAGAGGTTACGTGACACAAAGTCACCACCGCAGCATGGCCCTGGCAACATCCATGTGGTGCACATGCAGAGAGGGGAACATCATGCACATCAGCAGGATATACAAAATACATTGTGCATCTCACAGCCACAGTGACAGCAGCTTGAGGAGGGAGCCAGATGGCTAAAGATGCTGCTTTCTCAGGAACATGCCCCTGGGTTGCTCTAGCTGGATGCAGCACCAGGAATGGAAAGGATCTTGGGAACCAGCTATGGGTGCACCATTCCCAACAAACATGTCCCTGGTCAGGCTCTCCCTAGCCCTTGGCTGCTGGTGCTGGTGCTTCTCTAGCTTAAGCCTTCAAGGCTCCCAAACAGCTGACCAGCATCTCTCCACCACTCTCGTCAGTCCCACCACGACAATGAATGGCTCTGGGGAAGGACCGTGATTTACCCCAGCCTGTTCCCTACCCACATGTCTGCCTCTCTGTCTGGACTCCCACCCTGGGTCCTGCACCTGCAGTAGCTGCTCTGGGACACTAACTGTACAGATCCGTTTCATCCAGGATCTCGGACTTGATGATCTCCTCAATGACATCCTCCAAGGTGACAATGCCCATCACCTCGTAGAACGGGTCTCCTTCCCCTTCGTTGTTCACCCGCTGCACAATGGCCAGGTGGGACTTTCCTGTGGGGAGAGAGGAAAGAGGCAGTGAGACCCTCACCATCCACACAGTGTCCCTGGGAGTCCCTTGCCCTATCTCCCTGGTGTTTTCTCATTCTGCTGGTAATTACCTTTCCTATCAGATTGCCAGCAATAGATCACTCGACATGCCTCTATTGATTGCTGTCTGGACTGATCCTAAATCTTTTCTTAAAATACAAGCAAAGCATCCAATTCCCTGGAACAGCAGCTGTTTTTAATGCAGAAATGCACATTTTTGTTTGCAGCTTTCTGCTCATCTCCTAAGCAGATGGTTCACCTCTTTGTTGAACCATCTGGAAGCAGAGGCTGAATACTTCAAATGATCAGCTTGCACCTGAGTGCCTTCTCCAAACCTGCCCCTGACAGCACTTCATCTCCATTACCTTAAACAAACCAACCGAGACCAAGACCTTCCTGGGATCTGCTGGTGACTTCTGCTTGGAAGTTACTGTGTTTCTCAACCACAATTTGGGCTTTCTCACTTGTCCCCAGTAAGCTGGCGGATGTGCTGACATATTCTCAGGCTTCTTGCTCTGGGCATATTTTAAATGTCATTGTTTGCTTTTGGCTGCTTGGCTCTCCATAAGCTGTTTTGAGTTGCTCAGCTTCTCCCTTCCATTATCATCTGCTCTAATTTATGATCCTACTCAGCAGCTTGACTAGAACCCAATTCCCAGGTCTTGAACAACTCCTGGGTTTCCAGCTCAAGTGCCTTCTTGGACCTGCCAGTTAACAGCACTGATTTACCTACTGCTGCTGTGACTCCTGTTCTGCTTAGTGGTGCACACAAGTCTGAGCCTCTAGTTTTGAGGAGAGGAGAGGAGAGGAGAGGAGAGGAGAGGAGAGGAG